TTCATAAATTTCATTTACGAAATTTGAACTTTCGTTTTCGACCGGTCAACGAAATTCTAACTTTCATTTCGAATTTAAACTTTCACTTCGCGAAAAACTCCTTTTCACTCGTCGAAAATCAAATTTCATTCATCTAATTTGTTCTTTCATTTGTTGAATTTGAGATTGAAAAGGTGTAGTAGTATGAGAAGATGCAAGGCCGTTATGTGGGAGGGGGTCGGGAACTGGAGCGCACCACGATGTATGTATTTTGCTGAAAAGTAAGAAGGATACAGGTGAATAAACTATTAATTGGGAATTAATGATTCTAATTCGTTTTCCTCAGCGAATTTCACTGATGTTTGACATTACCGGTATTAATTTCACCTCATAACGATGGTGGACTTCAATGAGATTCTGCCGCCCTTATAGAATGTAATGTTTTGATCATAAAAGTATTTTATTGGATTTACCTCATGGTCGGGGAGCCCGCTCGCTTTGGAAATATGGTCCGTATTGATGTTTTGGAGAACTGTCCCGCGTGATGTATGATGCTATTGATACCTGGGTAGTATCGATCGTAGGGGATCGAACTTGGGGTTCAAACCTCTGGTGCGACCTGATTTCTCTGAACGAATAAGGCCAAAACTGTAGTTTTGTTTGGTAGTTGTATGCTGCCACTCCATGTTCCGAGTTTTACAACACAGAACGTGGGTACCTGTGCTCACTGAGCACTGCTCAGTATTATACTGAGAGTATATAATGCACATGGTTCTATCCCAGGCATCACGGATGGCCGCTATGAGATCTTATTCGATGAGACCAATGAGGGGAGTCCATCCACATTGACTCACTGTAACTGAGTAATCCACAATGTAGACTCCACTGTGGAGTTTCCACACTCCATCACCCAGAATGGAGTGCCGAGAAAGTCAGTATGTGTAGAAGACAATTATGCATGGGGCTGCATGCACGCATGATAAGTGCATGCAGCCTCACGTTGGACATGTCCGCCATCCCGGATTCAATGGATGTGCAACGGCATGCTAGTCACACCGTATGACGATCAGGGAACTATGACAATACTATGACTGTCATGGTTGTGTAATCTTAGCTGAGTCAAGGAGAAAGAGACTGGCAGACCCAGGTTCTTCACGGTAGTTAACCCCGTAATGAGCTCCCTGGTTTCGATCTTACAGAGCGATATCGAGGGAATTCTTGAAATGCACAAACCGGTTCTACTTCTCTGACAGAAGCTCCAGTTAGCCTTCATATTATGCGTGACAGGGATCGGAGCACTTTGCACGGCAGCATCCTGATAATGGAGGGAGACATATCCGCCTTCTGCTTGGAACAGTCTCTCAAAAGGAACGCTGCAGTGTTATGCACGATTCTGTCGCAGGTTACATCTGGCAGTGCTTAGTTTTATCGATAGCACACGGCGAATACTTCGAAGCCAGTACTGCTGTAGTATTCCCGATACGCCGCTCCGTTTCTTTGCGGCGGAGAATTCCTCCGGGAGACATGACACCAGCCTTGATGGAGCCGATTGACATGAGGCGACAAAGAAACTAAGACTTCACCCATTTCTTGATATGCCATTTGTTGTTGGATTCCATAACAACTTGTTATTAACAAGTTGTGAACAATTCTCACTAAGAAGTGAGTCTTATGCATCATTAGAGCACACAAGCTACGTGAGGTACTATAATAGTACTCGTACTCTTGGATGCTTACAGTCGGAACTTTTTCTCTCGGTTTATCATAATTTTTGTCTCAGACGGATCCGAGTGTGGCCAGTACATTCAAATTCACTAATCTAGGGGGTCCGCAGTACCCATCTAGTCGCAACATCTTAGTATATCCACAACATCTCTGCAGAATTCGAATTTCATGGTCTGTGGCCCACGACGTGACGGCATCTACTGTCCTCTTCCGGCCTTGCTTCAATCACTCTCCACTAATGCCGGGTGGGGTAATCGGACCGTGATATTGTTTCCTTCTCCGAAGCGAGATCTGAATTGTTGCATTGGAGTATTCTATTCACTCAGTGGCATTTGGACCTGTTGCCGGTGATTGGCATATCCAGGCTAATTAGATTGCAGGAATCATTGGCTATGATAGCCAGGCTATCTAGGGACATTTTGTTTCTCATCCCTTGCTGATCACGATGGCGATTTCCTTTGAGATAAAACATGGTTCGCTGTTTTTACTGCGACAATTCAGTTTGAAATCAAGGTAAGAAATTACTGGAGGCTACTCTGCGCGACTTCTCTTTCAGGTTTGGCCTTGTTTTAGTTCGGGGCATCTCGTCAGTTTCGCCGAATGCAGCTCAGTCGCTTATGCGAGAGGAACCGCACGTGACGGTGTGCATGGTGGGCCGACCGAATGTGGGCAAGTCGAGCCTCTTCAATCGCTTGCAGAGTGAGTCAAGATTAGCGTCTCAGTAGCTAGTAGAATGCTGTTGCAGGTAATAACCGCAACACAGAGAACAACCGGCAAAAAGCTATAGTGTGAGTGGTCTCGGATACTGATATCCTGCATTAGTGATTCAATCACTGAATTCAACGAATGCACACCCTCCCTAAGGGAGGCTCCCTTTACCGAGAGGCCGGAGTCTGTCGCGGAAGTTGTCTGTATAGCGATTTGTCTCAGCAACTCGTTAGATCTTCAGAGTGGACAGCTCCATTGCGAATCGAGATGAGTCTTCGAATATCGCTGAGCTGAAAGGCGAAGGAAGGTCTAATTGACAGTTGTTCCTCTTCAGCTACACGGCAGCGGGCACGACTCGTGATGGGAAGTCGGCGATGTGTCAGCTAGGGCGATTGAAAATGATGTTGCATGATACACCAGGGCTTGAGGATGATTCTTTAACGGAGAATAGTGAGGCCAGGGAGAAAAAATACTTGTCACTTCATACTACGATCGTTTCTCGGGTCCATCCTGAATAGACCACTGACGTTGTCGAGTATGCGCGGTGATTGTGCTATGGTGATTCGATGAACCATCAGGCTTCAAGTATCGATTCGTTTCACTTCCATGTCGAAATATTCAATTTTTCTGCTTGTTCAGAGATCCATCGGGTATTCGTATATTATGATTTCCAACAATTCGTTCTGGTGCGTCTCTGATACTCCGATAATCTTTCTCCGTCTCTTGGTTTACGTTGTCACATCCTGACCCTCAGGCGAACTCTTGCAGAAGATGCGGCAGAAAGCCTTGGAAGCCGTCTCGCGGAGCGACGCCGTGATTTTTATGGTGGACGCTAAGGAGGGTGTGACTCCGCTGGACTTGAAATTAGCAAGAATGCTCAGTAAAAGAGTTCGACGCCTGAACGAGCTCTTCAAGGAAAAGGAGCAGAAAGGAGAGTAACTCGGGGCAGGCGACTAATCCTGCGAATTTGAATTTCATCATAGCTACTCTCGCATGGGCCTTTTGTCGTAGAAGTTATACGATTGTGACGATCATCAGACCGGTATCGTCACAAGAGTTGCGTCACTTAAGCGGGACTGATTTCTGCCACGTCTACCGTTTTCCACCTTATCTCCGGGAAATTAAAAGGTCAACTTGTCTCCATTTCTCTAGCAGTGGAGGATGTTTTTGTAGCAAATTCACCGAAAGACATCGAAGAACACTCAGCGCTCAAGATATATGAGACGATCGTGTTGTTTGGTTTAGACGAAGTCGGCCTCCGATATCCATCGTCTTGGTGGCGAACAAGGCGGATGGTGCTCAAGACTTCCCAACTGATGCCATTGCTGACTGCTATGATTTGGGCCTCGGGGATCCTGTCATGATATCGGCTACTAAGAATGAAGGCACGGACGATCTGTAGGTGTCTCGGATAACCCTACGTGGCACACACTGGATTGCAAGTCTACTGAGTATTCGTTGGAACGTATTAGGCATGTGTTCTGTTGATTGTATCTCTTTGTTGTGGGTCTGCCATCGACTCTTGCTATTAGTACTCGTGAAGACATTGCTTTGTATTTTGGTATTAACTTGAAGGTCTTGATAGGTATGACCGTTTGATGTTGGACGTTGGAGACAGGCTGAAAGGAGCATGGGCGGATATGGACGAAGAAGTAGTTGAAAGAAAGGACGATGAGGACGCGATCCAAACGGTACGTTCGTGCGTGAATAACTCTTGCCATTGAGGAACAATACGATATGTTATGAGCTGCGTGGCTCGGTCAAACCAGTCCTGTTTAGGCCATGGCTCGAGAAGGACCTAGTTTGGAAATGATTGAAGAAATGCATGATATTTGGCTAAAGGAGGCCATCGAATATAAAGAGTACAAAGAGGCTATGAGACAAGAAAAGAAAGAGGCTAGAGAAAAGGAAAGACAGAAGAGGAGGGATCGAAAGAGGTAACTTCACTAGATCCCTTGAAATTGTGTATACAATTGCGATATGACTGAGATTTCGGACTCTACGGCTATTGAAAAATTATGGGCCTCATGGATCGTCAGATAGTGGCATACTTAAGGGTCGCTATAGAGCCTTGTTGATGATGCCATCTTCAGAGGATTGCCGGTGGAGGACTCGGAAAGTGAGGAAGATGATGAGGACTTCGACGAGGAGATGGGAGATGGCCCGCCGCCTGATGGAATGGAAGAGAACATCACAGATGAAATAGGTGTAGACGGACGAACGATGCTGGAGAGGAAGGCTCTCGCGAAGTACCTCACGAAGAAGCCCTATCATCTGAAGGATAAAATGGTGAGGTATTTCTGGAGGCGCTAGTAGCGCCCCAATTGCATTGTAGCGCCGTGCTACAATGCGGGTATAGAGGTCATGGCATGGAAATTTCATCATGCCCTTGAGAATCTCAATTTGAGGTTTCAATGGTCCTAAAACCCCGAAAATCCCTTATTTCAGTCTTGGGTAAGCTAATGAAAAGATTTATCGTCAAGACTATTTCATGCTGAGTTGTGGTTATGGCTCTTCGTAGTTGCTACCATACGGTTACTGTATTACAGTGCTACCTCTGTCCAAAGACACCGAGTTATGGTTGATCCAATAAGTCTAATAACTTCTTGGAGGCATTTCCCAAATGGGCAAAAGACCTCGCCCTGGTGCGGTTGGAGGGATGGATTATTTCTATCGCGAAAATGATGTATGGACCTGCATTTGCAGGGGAACTCCTAAACGGTACGAAGTAAAAAATGTAACCCGTTTCGAGGAGCACGTCACGATGAGCACCTCGAAGATATTCGCTGTGGACTCACACCCTCGTAGATGCCACGTTACCCGGTAAAAGAAAAATTTAGGTGAAAGAAAGTTACAAGATAATACCTTGAAGGTATTTGTGATTGTCAAGATCTGAGAATTCTCGGAGGCTCCCAGACTGGGATCCGACAACGGAAGATGGCGTGACTAGGAATTTCCTAGTGGGAAATTAATAGGATGTGACCTCAGAGGAAAATGTGGTATGGATTGGTGTCCCGTGCACGGGATGAGGGAACTAAACTTGAGGGAACTCAAGGAATCGGGGAGAAGCAAGTTTAATGCGAGATAGCTCTGCTCTTGGGCTCCCTGGATGATGAGATGGTGTAATGTCGTGGCAGGCATTCCAACACCCAAACAAGGTATCCGTTGCTATGCTAAAGTATTCACGGTTTGCTCAACTCAAGTGACTGAGTCACTGTGACTCAAGTCTCAGTCATCAGTCTGAACGGGTGGCGTTTCAGGGAAGGAGAGTACGTTTGCGACTCGTACTCTCTGGGAGCGTATTTCTCTTTTCAATGGGTATTTCTAAACTTGACTCATCGGCTAGCCGCAGCTCATGTTGTTTCCTCAGACGCGCGACGTTGTTTTGGAGGAGAGGCGGCGGCTGTTGAGGGATGAGCGAACGATCAACATGGCATTCGTTGGTCTTCCCAATGCTGGCAAAAGCTCGTTAGTGAATGCTCTGCTCAAAGAGGAGAGGATCATAACTGATACAACTCCGGGTGAGACGAATATGCTCTCCGCTCTCTTGCAGGCCATATACTAGGTACTACGACCGACACTATCGTCACGGACTGGTCGTTCCGTGAACACAAGATTAGACTCTTCGACACCGCAGGTGTATTCAGAGGCTGGGCGTAATGCTATATGAGAGCATTTTTACTCTGTTTTGGTCATTGATTGCATTGGTTCACTCCCTCTCCCCCTCAGGTACAAGGGAGATAAGGAACTTATGGGGCCGGGATCGGAAACGCAGCGAGCCATTCGCTTGTAGGCAAAGTCGAGGGATGAGGCCTTCGGCGTTTCCCGTGTTGATGCTTTTTTACTCTTGCTCACTCTTTTGGTGATGACATTCTCATGGTTGGCACTCAAAGGATCAGTGTCCCTTGCCGTGCTTTTTTCAGCGCCCATGTAGTGGTGATAGTCGTGGACGGGTCCAGAGCTGAGCGATCCCACGTGCCGAACAGAGCTGAGCTGAAGCTACTGCGGATGGCAGTGGAGATGGGAAAGTGTGTGGTCGTGGCCATCAATAAATGGGACCTCGTTGAAGAACGACATAAGTAAGAACACTGAGAGGTTCGCTGCAAATCGGAATTGAACTCAACGCAAGTTAGCGAAAAGTTCCCTCATTGAGTGACGGTGCTGTGTCTGTAGTGTGATGGGTTTTTTTCGTATGGAGTTATGCAGAGTCGACAGTAAGCAAGTCTTGGGGCCGACTTGTTTGTCTTTTAGGGAGAAGTTACGACAGCTGTACGTGACGAGTACTGTGAATAAGTCTGCTCAAGTGAAGGGGATGCCTATAATGTTTATCTCGGCGAAGACTGGGTTCAATGTTATGATGATGATGACTCGGGTCCAAGCGCTGTTCCGACGATGGAATGGTAGAGTGGCGACTTCTGATATCAACGACTGGATGAGGAAGTTTCAAGAGCATTATCCACCACCATGGAAGGACGGTGTGAAATTTTATCCAAAGTATGTGACCCAGGTTCGATCCCGGCCACCGACGTTCGTCTTCTGGGCGAATACGCACGGTGGGTTCCCGCCCAACTACATGCAACAGATGCGGAATTTAATGCGCGAGGAGTTCGGCATGGAGGGAACGCCAATTCGAATGCTAATTAGAAGCACGCTAATGCCTGATCCGAAAAAGAAATTGGGGAAACAGGAAGTACTGAAATGGAAGCGGATGGGCCCGAGGCAAGCGGAGGCTGTCAAACACCTCAAGGGGGAGAAGGGGAAAGCTGTCAAGGTCAAACGCATGGCACCTACAGTGAATACGAGACGTTTCTGATTGTGCTGTACTTTGCGTGGCGGGAAACGGATAGCAGGAATTGACTGAATTGCCGCATCGCTGGGAATTCAAAACTTATTTGTTGGCGTCCATTAACTATCGTCATATGATGATTCACCCGATGAAATGGCTCCACTCGAGCTTTCGGGTGGAATGTTCAGGTTGGAAATTGCTTAGAATTAGCTGCCCCCTTCTTAACGAAGCGAAGTCACTATAAGCCTTATGGGCGTGCGCTTGAACACAACTGTTTATTGTAACGGTCGTTGTCCCTAAATAACTGCCGTTACCCCTCGAAGAGTAATGTCTGTTGTTTTTCTCTTGTCTAGCAGATTTACATATTTTGGAGCCTCGAGTCGATCCTCCAGTTCGATTTCCATTATTTTTATGTCCTTAGCCCGCCGTAATATCTTCCATGTCGCCTTGCTTGGCGCAGTTATTCGTTTATCTGCTGGTCATAGTTGGATGTATTATCTTGAGGGTGACATCGAGGACGGTTATCCCAGGATGGGTATTTCTGGTCCTGATGACGACTACTTCACGGTAGCCCTTCGTGTGTGCCAACTTCTTTCAAGGTCTCTTTCCCTTCAGCGTTATATCTGCCCTTTGAAGACTCTCAAGGAGTGCTTCCTCGAGCCCAAGCATGAGATAGTGCTCGATCAGAGCAGCCTCCGTCCCTGCAGGGCTAGCGGCTCCCCAGGCGCACCCAACGTTGAGGAAATCGCTGCTGTGACTGCGGGTAGGTTGTGGCCTTGTATTATGATGACTTGTATGCTTGTCAGGTAAGGCGTTGAGAATTTATTGGAAGAACAATGGACATACTCATGGGGAATCTGACGGTGAGTCCAAAACTTGTCATTCGAGCTTGCTGGGATATTGTCATATCACCAGGTACATGCGTTCAGATTCGTATCGCCCCTTACTCTGCCGATCCAGATTGGAACGATTTTAAGATTCTCGACTTGTGTTTACCCTATCACAACCATCAGAAGACTTCTGCTATAGTGGTCATCCCAGAGACATATTCCGGCAAGTACGTCATACATTGGATGTGGAAGTTTGGTCCCTTCTACTTCGCTACATGTGCTGACATTGCTGTCACTAACGCCCACGCTGCGGGTTCGGTGATGATGGAGACAACTAGAAAACCTGTGACACAACCAGCAGTGCCTGTGGTCACTAGGAAGCCTACCAAAAGTGCCCCAGGTGTCATGGAACTATACAAACAGTATGGTTGTGCTGCTCTGGCGAACCCCGGCGAGTTCTGCTACGAATATTACGGTACATATTGCAAGGTCTCTGCTGGTGCTGATTACTGTGGCCGTCATATTTGTCATAAGTCCACTCATAGCGAGCTAGATCCTTGCATGCGATTGCGCCGATGAGGGGAGCAGGGTCAGCTTCTCGGCCTCCTTGGGAGGTAATTTGTGCAGCTTTGTTAACTCGGTATAGAGTACTACGTATATACAGTTATTCATATCGATATTCGATCTTTCCTATTTCCTCGTTTAATTCGACAATTCAAGACGTTCATGAATATGGCGTGCCTCTTATGGTTGTGAAGCGTGATGCGCGCCAATATGCAATCTCATGCAGAGAACATAATACCACTAGTTTCATCTCTCGGTGGTTGGTTGTGTGTTGAAATAAGTGTGTCTTCGGCCCTTGCCACAGTAATGGATAAAAAAGAAGTAGCATGTGTTCATCCTGTGCAACGTGCTTCAAATATTAGTGATTTAATTGCTGTTAAAGCTGGTATGTCGAGCTTGTATGGATCCTCTGAACTTGGTCAGTTCTCTGTAGGTGAAGCGATGCAGATTGAAGAACCTACAATTGCCGTAACATATTGAACTGTTCACCGCTGATCATGGAGCCTAGCAGCGGCTAATAGCGAGTTGAGTACCCAATCCATGTTCAAATTTAGGGAGATAAATTTTTTGTGTCGTTGTGTCGGTTGTCTCCCTCGGATGGAAGTTGCATGTTGCTGAGAAACATGTCGGTAGATCAGCCTTACGTATTGGGCAATAGCAGCCGAAGTAGCTAATGTAGACATTTCTGATTGATTTGACGCACAGTAGTTACTGAATTAAGGCAGTGATTGATAGGCACGGCTAGAGAGGCACATTTGTTTGGAGCCCACTGGCTTTGAAACCCTAAAACTGTGGATCTCGGTCATCTAGATGATGATGATGATGTATGCACTTCAACTGAGCCGAGTTGGTACTCGACATGTAGGTCACGTCAGCAATAACTAAACAGAGGCTTCGAGTACTGTGGTAGAGTTGCTTCGGCTGTATGTCCTAATTGCACAGCGGTTCTTGAGACTGAGCCGGAGGGCGCGGATCTGTCTGTGTTTTTGATTATCGCGAAAGTCATCGACTGCGTTATTTTAATGATCTTTTATGATGTTCGCCTATAGTGTATTTCATATTTTTCTGGCATCTCCCCAAAACGGAATCACACATGGCTCGATCTAGAATTATACGACAATCCGACAAGAGTGCCTCGGATGAAAATTCTCCGATTAAGAAGACTTCTGAAAACACAGCCGGGACCGAGGGCATCTCTGCTGTTGAGAAATCACACAATTCTCTGGCGAAATTGGATCGGTATATCTCTGCGACGTATGTTCATTCGTTGAAACTGGGAGTGTTGGACTATGTCGTGGCGGTGCCGGCTCTCGTATGTTCCACGTACGTTGTTCCCTTCCTACCGGTGATCGTGAGCATCAAGATGGGAACACAGCGTGGTATGGAATACTTGGCTTGTGTTCTGCTATGTGTGGCAGTGTCGTTGACATTGAAAAAGGTAGGACCAGGAATAGGTCGCGTGGCGTACCGTGGTCTCTTCAACGTGCGAGTGTTTCCCGAATGAGATTCTTCGTCCGTGAGAGTGTTTCCTATACTCCAAGGATGTTACTAATTTGCTATTGAGAATGGCTATGACTTGTGACATGCCGTAGGTATTCAAACGGGCTCGGCCAACAAGTCCGTCAGCTCCTCGAGAAGTTGATCTGCGATGGATGGAAAGTAACTTCTCATTCCCCAGTGGGGATTCTGTGCAGGCTGGAGCGTTGGCGACCTTCTTGGCACTCACTGGCATCACGCCTAGGGCATATTTACTTGTAATAGTGGTAAAAGACAGTGTGCTTTCTTTACTGTCGTCTAGTAGGTTCCATGCGTGATGTTCGCGCGTGTCTATTTTGGCTTTCATTGGATTGGTGACACGGTATTTGGCGCCTTGCTGGGAGTGCTAATAACAGCTATCCTCCTTTCCTCGCTGTAGGAGCTCGTTTTTGGCTCCTCCTGAGTGAGTGACTCCTCCTCTTCTGTGTTATTTGTGGATGTCTGTTATTCACAGGTCGGATGCTCTGGCGGTCATTCAATACTAGCGACTACTTCTGCTGTACGTCATTCATTCGGGAGAGTATTTTGGAAGTGAGAATTGTGTAGTGTCAACTCCCCCGATTTCAGCAAAATTGCAACAAAGTGCGTTTGTTCCATTCTGTTCAACTGCCGTTTTGCGTTATTTAGTTGTGATTGACAGTAGAGTAAAATGTTAACATTGCCGCGTAAACCATAATAATACATGTCGTCGATCATCTTGAGAGAGAACAACGAAGTATCGTTTGTTTTAAAGACACTTCAGTTCTACCATACTTTCTAAGTGATCTCAGCTCTATTCTCTCCAGAGAAAAACGTCATGTTCTGAACCCTAACTGAAGTTGCTCTTCGATCGTTCCACACTGGTATCATTCCGGCAACTGAATACCATTTTTACGCATTTACCAGCCAGTGGGTGCAGAATCCAGTTATGAAGAACCTCAAGAGGTGTGGCTTTCACAATGTTACGTTGGGGCTCGCGTAGCCACACCCTAGAGCCTGGCCCCGAGAGGCAAAAACATTTGATGAAACCAGCCCCTACTATCCACCTTCCACAAAGGAACTTTCCCACACAACAGTCATAAGTGCGAAGAAAAAATCCCACCATTAGAAAAAGATGTTGTCATCACTCCTCACAATTCTTGGTCTTTCTCAGTAGTAGGAGCTCCCTGAATGGATAAATGTCATCACTATAGAATATCATGCTTACCTCTTCTTTCTCAAGTGGCAGTTCACCCGAGTCGACAATCACAACCTTCGCACTTGGAGTGCCACTCTGGCTTCCTACAGCCTCGATCTTCTTCACCTGACAACAACCATCAACACGAGATGGACAATTCCAATCAATCACACGAAATTTTTCAAGGGATCGATTTCGAGACAGGGAATGCTCAACTGATGAATCTGCGGCCGTGTGAAACGTGACACAAACTGTGAGCTTCGTGCTCAACTACATTTGTGATGAGTCTTTCTATGAACTAAAATTCGGCTCACTCGAATTTCAGATCAGACGTAACAGAATATCCACACAAAACGATACTCGGGTGTCAATGTGCTATTCAAGACCTTTCGAGAAGCGCAGAACAACAACTTTGACGAACTATGCATGTATAGAGTACCAGAGGTATACTGCTGTTTCACGAAATAAAAGTGGTTACTTGAGTCACATGAATGAAGAGGGAGTAATACCGTGATAGTAAACGCTGAGGATAGTCGAAGACTTACAATATCAACGCCCTTGGAGACACGGCCGAAAACAACATGACGGCCGTCCAGCCACGGGGTCTTCGCAACGGTAATGAAAAACTGAGATCCGTTCGAATCAGGACCAGCGTTGGCCATGGACAAAAGGTAGGGCTTGGTGTGCTTCAGACCAAAGTTCTGAAGAAGACTTTTGAACAGCGGAGCGACGCACTTTTCGTACCTCATCAGCGAACTTCTCGCCATAGATCGACTCGCCACCTCTGCCATCGCCCAGAGTGAAATCACCACCTTGGCACATGAATCCAGGAATCACCTACACACGGGAAGCAGGAGAGAATTTCCTCAGCCGACAGAAAACGTCAATTTCACGAGATAGATCAAGTCGTGAAAGAACGAAAAACTCTATGTTCATGGAATCAAGTCTAGATTTCAGAATCGACTGTTGCATCGTATTATACGTATTAGAAGCGATTCATTCTGAGTTTCGAAATCGGTTTATTAAACGATCCCAAGAATCTCAGAAGGAATGCCGAGGCCAACGAGTGACTCACTCTGTGGAAGGAAGAGCCCTTGTACCAAAGCGGCTTTCCACTCTTGCCGACTCCTTTCTCACCAGTACACAAAGCACGGAAGTTCTCAACGGTCTTGGGAACTTGCTTGCCGTAAAGGTCGAATTCGATACGACCTACTTGAGGGAGGCAATCAATGCAGATAACGTGAATCAACAACAATGATGGTATTCTCATATCGGCCGAAACTCACGACACCAACTTTCAGGAAAAATGAGGAAAAAACTGACCCGCAGCTTTGCCGCCGATTTCAATGTCGAAGTAAACTCTACTGGTGACAGTTTTATCAGCCTTCTTCTTCTTCTTGGCCTCCACTGAAGTGAACACCACCACTAGCGAGAAGACAAAGGCGAAAAATTGGCCGGCACGCATCAGAGCGGAAAAATAACTGACGATTATGTCGCAGGAACTTCGTCAGCGAGTGAGAATCTAATCTAAACTAGAGCGACCGTTTTCGGGTACTTTGAAGCGAAGGCAACCACATGAATTTTTCCTTCACACGCTCAACAAAGATCTATTTCAAGAAGTACTATTGAGTTTCTCACGTATGAAACGGTTTCATTGAAACCGTAAATCTTTCCTAAACCGCTTTCAAAATCCTATCTGAAATACCTCAAGAAGGAGAGTGCTTTGAACCGTTCAGCACAGAGGGTTATCAAGGAGCCCTTCTTTAGAGAGAATTCTATAGAAGACCAGTTTCGGGTCAAGAGATAGATATCGCATAAAGCTCCACCTGCACGTGAACACGCGGGGCACGCGGCGCTACACTGGGCAAAGTAATGAGGAAATGATAGAATACAAGATGCAGTCTAAGAATTATTAAAGTCTACTTCTGACGGACCGCACATAGTTCCCATTTGGACCACCGGAAGCCGACCGACCGACATAGGTGGCAATACTGCGTTCATGCTTGTGATCACAGCTTCCGTCTCACTTGTATAGATAGCCACAGTATATATTGACCTCAGTTGTAATCATACAACTACTGCTGGAAGTAGATCTATTTATGGGATCTACTTCTACTACTCAGAATAGAAGATGACATTCGACACATAACTTTCTCAGAATATTCAGACAAGGTAACTATGCGAGCCCAGATCACGTATAAGGCACATGTGGCTAGATCGCATGGTCAACAAACATTTGTGGAAATTCTGGGAGGAAAATTGAGAGAATTTTTCATTGGTTTTTACACTTCTACCCGAATTTGTATGAAACCTTCTATAATTAGGGAGGAAAATTCACTGCACTCAGGTGAGAAAAGCGAACATATATTCGAGCACTGCGGCGGGAGCTGCCAGCGAGGACACTTTCGGGTGGATGGGACCGGCTTGTAACAGAGCTATTGTTAAACTTCCCTTCATGTTCGCTTATCACGTCACTTCATTTTAAAAAGTGTTATCAAATTTCCTGAAATTTTTTCGTGTTTCGTGAAGTTCTTCTCAAATTTGGGAGATTTATGGTAGACTCTGATGCGATAGTACTCTAAATTGACTCAGAAGTTAAGACGACACTTTTTACATGTGTCACTTTTAATACGTCATGTATCAAACACGGGGGAAGCGTATTTTAACCAGCGTACGAATATTCTTGAATTTTCCAATGAAAAAAACATCAATTACGAACAGGGAAGGTGTCCTGAGGTGTGCGAGCGTATAATAGTCCTACGGCGTGAGGCTAGTGCTTGGGATCAGCAACTCTTACAGTTTTGAGAAATAATTTTACCCAGGATCTGACAACAGTCGGAAAAATGTTCCTAGCCATGTGGAAAATTCGAAATTATGGGTTAGATTTGCCTACCTCAACTCATTCAGTTTCTATTTTCCATGCACCGTGCGTTTTGCGGTGCACTTTCATCAAAGTTGGCAACACTTACTACAGCATCATCACTTTTGAGAACTTCTACGCAGTTAATACAGAGAAGAATGGCAACTATTATAGCTACTGCTGATGCTATACAAAAGCCCGATACTGATTATAGACAGTACAGGGCTATAACGCTACCCAATAATATGCAGGTAACCATTCAGCTTTGAAAAATAGCGTTTCTCAAGGTTTGATAATAATGGGAAAAATGTTCTTGTTGTGATGACATTTACATGGGAAACTGATTGAGCCATACGTGGAAAATTTAAAATTAGTCCCCCCCCCGGGAACATTATAGGTTTCTGGATGATTCTCTGAGAAGGGGGGTCAATAGGAATACTTGATACATTTCAAGCTGTTGTGGTATGGCCGCCCGAACTAAAATCTCCTTGGCTGTTGGGACAATTGTTCGCTTTCACCGGACGTGCTAGCTGTAACGAAAATCACTAAGGAATCTGTCTTGGCGATAGGGAAACGCGCTTGTTGTAGTGACAATAGTATTTTACCAGCGCTTGTGTGGCACTAGAGTGCAGTTGTGCATATAAACGAAACAGTCACACTTAGGAGACTCCAGGAAATGGAGAAGAAAACTTGGTGTTTTTGAATATTACTTTTGAAATTTGGATCAGCATCTTGTGTGTCTGTCAGGCGTTGTTGATACATGATCCTAAAACGGAGAAGGCGGCAGCGTGCATGGCTGTTAAGTAAGGCGTCGGAATAAATATCATAATTTATGGTATGCGAAATTTCTGATGAAAACCCGAGGGGAAATCTTCCTATTTTTCTTCAGTTGAGATGATTTCACGCACTTTCTAGTCGTGGCAGCTGATGAGAGTCTTATAGCAGTTGCTGTGTCAGAGTTTGTCGACTGAAGTTTCACCCATGATATGAAAAACCTACTTCCATAGAACACTGTATAGCGCGAATATCGGGTTTTTCACTGAGTATTACGCGTAAAACGGGTGAAACTTCGTCGTTTGTCGTCGTTGAGTATAACGTTTGTTTGATCCTCTTTCAGGGTTGGATCTATGTTTGATCCGCCGCAGTTTCAAGGGATAGCACATTTTCTGGAGCATATGCTTTTCTTGGGAACACAAAAGTAGTGAGCGGGAGGCGATTTCCGGGCCTACTTTGTATCTTACCTGGGGAGACCTAAGATATGAATAGTGTACTCGTCGAACCATGAGCGGACCTTTCCCGTATCTTCGTCGATCGACCTAAAGATTCATTCGGCGCAAGGGTTATGTTGCTGCAGGTATCCCGAAGAAGATTCCTACAATAAATTCCTGGCCCAGAATGGAGGCCGATCGAATGCCTTCACCAGCGACACAAACACTGTCTACTTCTTCACTGTAATTGGGGCGTTCCTCCCTGGCTCGCGATAAGGATAGGAATTCAACTTAGTAGATACGAACTTATCGTTGAGAAACTTGTATGAAAATTGCAATTTTCTCGTGTGAAATTTTCACAGTGTGAGCGAATTCTAATAATATAGTTGATGAAGAAATTCAGAACGGCTGTGGAGCCTAAATATCGCACCGTTGACATGACGGCCTCGATGCTTGGCGGTATAATCTGATAATAAATGGTCAACTCTGGCGGTAAAAATGCCCTCAAACGGGTCGGTTCGCGACAAAGTTATATGAGAAGAAGAACGACTGTGGACTGTGATAAATTTCTTGAGCTTTCAAGTAGATGAGATGGCGTGCCCTGTTCAGTATTGGAATATACGATCGCTTCTCTCGGAGGGGTTGAGGAATTTTCTCTCTGAGTATTGGAAGTTTACATACGAACTTGGATAGGAGTGCACAAAAACTAAGGAGAAATTCCCAAAATTCCCTCAAATTTTTTTCTCTGTCGTTAACATGTGCAATTTTTTTCGTTCATTTGTGGCTATGTTTTAGGTGAACTCGTCGGCTTTGGACGGTGCTCTGGATCGCTTCTCCTACTTCTTTAAGGAGCCTCTTTTCACACAGTCTGCCACAGACCGAGAAGTGAGAAATGCTCCTGGGGTGGTTCGAACTCGGGACCTCAGGTGCAAGCTGTGAATTCAGAAAACAGCAAAAATCTTCAAGTTGACGTCTGGCGGATGATGCAGCTCGAAAGAGAGCTGGTTTTCAATAAGGAGCATCCGTCCTACCACTTTGGTGAGAGGAATGGTCGTGTAGTGTTGGAATATATGTTTGCTTTTCCCACCTGAGGTCAGTAGTTTCCAAAGCTAATTATGGAGGTATTTAGAAACCAATGAGAATTTTCTTGAAATTTTTACAAATGTTACCTTCACATCGGGCGTTAATGGTGATGAGTTTCCGGCAGGTACTGGTAATAAGGAAACTCTCAAGCAAATTCCTCGAGATGCACTTCTTGATTTTCATAATAAATGGTGCATTCGGGAAGCCTGTAGGTCCTAGGTGAACTCTGAGTCAGGTATTCATCGAATATTATGAAGTTGGCTGTAATTGGTAACGAGTCCCTTGAAGAGCTGCAAGAATCAGTGCTAGAGGTATCAGGGACCATCTGGCGTTACCCGGGGTTTGACAACAATGGGGAAAATGATGTTGCTAATATTGTGTTGATGACGTTTAGATGGGAAGCTGCTTGAAGACTGTGTTTTTAGTCATACGTGGAAAATTTAGAAATAGTTTCCCCCCGAAACATTATAGGTTCCTGGGTGATTCCCTGGGAGGTACGGTACGCGCAATGTAAGATCCAATTTCGTGTGGAAGCCCCAACTTCTTAACTATTGCTCATATCGACCCTGGAATTTTGTATAGAAACTTTCCGAATATGATTATATTGTTTTTAAATATGCCACGGATTTGATTTCCGAGGAAAAATATTTTGCACTTTTTGGACTCCCCTCGTGCGCGTCCCGCTGGTTGTGTGGGTGGTATCTCATGGAGGGGTAAGGGAAAAATGAGACATTTATTTTCAGAAATTCTCACCCGTTTTGAACAAGAACGTGTATATCCCTGTTGATGCTGAATTCGGAGATGCTTCATTCTTGAGGGAAATTGGAAGATCGCTATCTGATGGAGTTACACATGTTGATCATGTTGCATCGGCTGCTAGAGGTAAGATTCGAGCCTGTTTTGTATCTTACGAGAGTGAACCTAAGATTCATCTTTTCCCAGGTTTAGTTTCTTTCGTGGTTCCTATTAAGGAGATACGTCAGGTTGACTTTGCGTTTTTCATGCCGACCCAATCACCACTGTGGACAACTAAACCGGCGAGGTTAGTCAGCAATTGGTTCATGCGCATGCGTGCAGAATTCTCATACCACTCCTTTTTGAACTCGTATCCTAGGTATCTGTCTCATATCTTCGGTCATGAGGGTGAAGGGTCTTTGCTGTCTGCGTTGAAAGCACAAGGACTTGCGACCGGCCTTTCCGCGGGCGCAGTTTACGATACGGCTGGGCTGTCTGTTTTCAAGTAAATATCGGCGGAGCGAAGTTTTTTTCGTGGGAGTTTTCACCCTTTATTCAGGATCAGCGTCGCGATACCGAATTCGGCTTTCCAGAACGCCGGAAACCCATGGACGTGATAGAGCGATCAGCGATAATGTTTCTCGGTGAGCTCTGCTGGGAGTGGAAACGCATATGCACTA